CATACATACATACATACATACATACACTTATGTACATAACATGAGCCCCGATGGGGAGTGGTGGAAATAAGAAGTAGACATCTAGAATCTGAAGAGAGATCTGGTCAAGGGGCCGTGTCTGCCGGCTGCGATGAGGCCGGCCTCGGTGGGATGCTGGGGAAGATCGAGGAGACGAGAGCCGGTGTAGGCGGCTGGGCGAGAAACGGAGGCGGAGGAGAGAGGCGCGTTCGAGGTGGCGGGGGAGCCGGCATAGCAGAAGTGTGGGGAGCCGGAGATTTGTCGGGGCTTGTTGTGATCGCCTTGTTGTCCGGGCCGAGTGGAGGCGACGCGCTGTCCGGCGAGTGAGGAGAGCGACGAGAGTGACGAGAGCGACGCGAGCGAGAAGAGGCCACAGCCGGGGCCGCCAGAGTAGGCGTGACCAGAGAGGAATGGAGTAGCGCAGGCGGTGGGCGAGTGCGTGTGAACGGGTCCTGACGGGACAAGACGCACCGATCGGCCGCCTCGAAGACGCTCCTCGTAGTCGACCAGTTGGCGCCAGAAGCTGGGGTTGGGCTGGACGCACGGGCGCACACTGCGCACCAACTGGTAGGCCTCGGCCAGACTCATGCCTCGGTGCCGGACGAGGTAGGCGAGCACGAGGCTGGTGGAGCGTGAAATGCCGGCCATGCAGTGCACCAGAGCGCGTCCGCCGCGTCGCGCCTCGGCGGCGATGCGATCGGCCACGCGGTCGAAATGCACCCCAAGGTTCGTCGACTCGACATCCTCCACGCTGATGTGCAGCGAGTTGGCGACGGCAGATCGAAGCGCCGCCGGCGGCGGATCTATCATGGCAGAGACGAGCAGAGTGATCTCGTTCTGGCGGAGGCGATCCGGCGTCAGTGCGTTCAGGCTGCTCAAGTAGAGGTGATCGGTGACGCGGGCAATTTGAGAAAACATCTTGTTCAGGTCGTAGCCTCCCACAGCCGGACAGTGGAGCAACGGGTTGCTGGTGGGATCCACCACCAACTGGCGATTGCAGCCGGCCTCGCCTCGGCCCGACGAGGCCGGCGGAGGAGCGGCACCGACGAGCGTGCTGTACGTGCTGGTGTACGTCCTGCCGGCACCGGACGCCATGCCACGATGTGACCAACTGGCGACAGACGCAGGGCCAGACGCCAGCGACGCTCGGACCGAGGGCAGGCCACGTGGAGGCAGCATAGAAGAGGCGAGATGCACATCACTGATTGGCTGGCCTGAATCCGACTGTCTCGTGATGGCCGACTGCCGGCTGGTGATTGGTTGACAAGTAGAGGCATAACGAGATTGTCCAATCAGACTGCCCGTTGTCCGTTGGACTAGCACGCCTGCTGGGCCAGGATAGGCCTGAAAAGTTAAAGTACTTTCATCACACCCTTTGGCCACACGACTAGCCGGCAGGACCAGATCACGTGACGCCATCGACGAGCTGGCAAGCCTGGCGGTGGTGGGATTGGCTGTGCCTTGGCGCCAAATTGATCTTACCTCAAGATCGCGACCTGTCGACTGAGGCGACCCATAGCAAGAGGAGTAGGTCGTTGCGAATCGGTTGTCGCTTGGGCTCATGTGAATGTTGGGCAGTCAGAGGCTGCTTACGTCGACCAACTGAAAGGCAACAGACATGCAAATGTGGAGAATGAGAAATGGCGGCTAATGAGTCGACTGGAAGGCATGCCGACTGGGCAGACGCGAGGAGCTGTTGGCTCCGCATGAGTTCGTTCAGTTTAGCCCATTTTTACCAAACCGGTCTGTTCGTTGGCGAGGCCTTGCGAAACGGTCCGATATGCTTGGAAGCCTTTTCGCGACTGGGACACCAGAACACTCGCCGTCCCACCAACCAGAGTCAACAGTCCAGGCAAAGAGCATCTATCCCCAGTGCCCAATCCTTTTTTACGCCAGCACGTATCGTGCAAATGATGAGCCCCCATTCAAGCTAAACCGAACACATGGAAAATGTGTGAAAAGGGATTTTCGAAGCAAATGATGAGCCCTCATTCAAGCCAACCCAAACACATGGAAGATGT